ATATATATTTCTGATAACTAGATTTTCCAGCACCCATTCTTTCACAGACACACATGAACACGCACACAGACATACATTCAGTATCATTTATAGATTTAATATCCTTTTTATGCACTACTGGCCAAAAGTATTTTATGGAATAGGCTTGCAAGATGTGCAGCATCTTCATACACTTGTCTAAAATCTCCTATTTTCCTTGCTTAATATTTCAGAATATTTCTGTCACTTTGACATTTATTGTATTGGTTTTCGTTCCCACAATAAATAGTTTCATTTGTTACCACGAATGAGTTCTTGAGATGAGCCCATGCTCATAACTAAATACCATTTCACAATTTTTTGTGTAGAGCAAAGTATCTAATGATAAGTTTACTATCTAATAAGTTGATCAAACTCACCACTTTCCCGCAGCATGCAAATCTACAAGGCAATGCCTCAAGGTTTGTTGATGTTCAGACCATACATTCATTCAGCATTTTATATAATTTGAAGAATTAGAAATTCTTGTTATTACTGTTAATATTTTCTGTCCTTCTTCCTAAGAAAATTATATTTTGAAAATGTTAAGCATTATAGGTATTGAACATTATTACAAACACTTGAAGACAGTAATAAATCTAGAAAATTAATATTTACACATCTAGGAAGTATATGTCTGTGCCTTAGATAACCTTCTCACTTCTTCTTATAAACATCAGAAAGAAAGAAACAGTCGCAATGTGCTTCTGAAATCTATTTTAGACTTCTATCTTTGGGTTAGAGGAATTAATCCTCAGGAGTATCTCTTCCTCCTTTTCCCTAAAAGGGTTATCTAGACAACAAGTTCAGATGTAAATATTTACTTTATTGATCTCCAAAGTAAGTCAAGAGGTTTTTAAACTTTGTTCTTGCAAATTCTATGCAACCCCTAATAAATACCCCCTCCCCTAAGTGCCAAAGATGGCCAGTCAGCACAGGTGTGGTGGACAGTCAGTCAGATGGCACCTAGATCAGGCAAGACAAATTCCACATTTTGAAGATTTCTCTATTAATTTGATTAAGCAAAAAAGGCTTAAATTTACATACCATCTGACCTCAAAAGTTTTTTCTATGAGGGAGATAAGTGTTGGAAGGAAAAGGAGGAAGGACATTAAATTCCATTCTTCTCATGGGAAAATGTAGGAAACGAGCAGGAAAACGATGTTTTGTCTCTGACGTACATGACAAGCAGGTAGTGTGCTACCAGAGGGAGGAGAGACAGAACAGACCCAGTATAAACATGAGGCAACGTTTGCCCCTGACAAAAGGAATGTGTCCAGAGGGTTAGCTCCCAAACAATTTCAATATCTGTTTTTTTTTTTTTTTTTTTTTCCCCACTCTGCAATGGGACCAAGACATCAGAAACTACACAGAGAATTTTGACATTGTTTTTACATCAACTTCAATTATTAGTGACTGACATGGCACAAATACTGAAGATGTCGCTGATTTACAGTGTGTTGAACACTGTGCAACCTAAACAGAATTTCTCATCAGGTAAGGGCTAGGATGGTCTTCTCTCATTCCTTCAAAGTGTAGAAGAATATTTCAGCACTGATCTTTATTTAAAATTCCTAATGACGTAGAGCATTATTAGGATATGGGGAAAAGAAGGGGGAAAAAAAAACATATAATTTTTCACGTCTAGGTCCACTGGGTCCACTCTACAGTCACAATGACTCTGTGGCTTTCCCTCCCTACTGGGTGAGCAGTTTAGACAAATCTCTAACATGGTCTTTTACTCTGCATTGATTTCTAGTCTTTTCTTCAGTGACCAACATCGCACAAAAACTCCATCCGTATGTGATTTATGAAGCCTCATGTAGCATGCTAAAAAACGTCATTTATTCACCAGGTAAGGGCACTGACGTACACTGCCAAGCAATGTTCTGTTCCTTTGCATTGCCAAAGGCCTGATCAGCAACCACGTTTGCTTCGAGTGATGAAGGAGGGTGGAGATGGTTGTGAGAAGAGGAAAAGAAGGGAAAGGAGATTGAGTAAGGTTGGTGGGAATAGTATTGGAGCTTATATTACTTAAATTTATGTGATGTCTTGCCTAGAAGGACTGGTTGAAACCAAGCATCAAGGAGGATCAGCTACAGGAGGAAAGGAACTGTGAGGGGAAGGTGCTGTGGGCTTTGAAAGGGAAAGATGAGTGCTGACATTTCTTGGGCAATGCTATTAGGGAAAGTGTGGAAAAGCTAATCTGTCTGGCATACGCATGAGCCTGTGAGCAGAGTGCATCAACGGGAGCTGAAGTCTCGCATTAAAAGAAATGAGCACATTCATGGCAAGAAGCGGATGGGGGAATATAGCTGCACTCCTGTTGGCTTGGTTTCTTGAATGGAAGTCATACTGGAGATCTAGGCTGTGTGTAGAAAGAAAAAAAGAAGAGCATAGTTTTGAAAGAAGGTGTTGTATGAGTTCATAGGACAGAAGTGAGGGGCTCTCATGAGCACCCAGGGAGTCAGCCAGGGAGTCTCTACGTGTTTCCCTCACTGCAACATGGCCGGTTCTCAGGTTCTCAGTAGTTCTCAGTAGTCTTTCACACTCTGTTCGTCTCTACTTCCATTTCCAGTGGGTGACATAGTAGAAAAACTGAGGGAGTCTGCAATTCTTGCTGCCTGCAGTAGTGCACTACCAAGCTGGTGCATGCCATCAAGTCAGGACAAGTATGCTGTCAGAGTGTTTTCCACAGGTGTACCGAAGTCTCCATGAGCAGCAACACAGAGTTGCAAGGTCTCAGTGGGTATAGGGATTGTCAGGTGAAGGAGAACAGAAGAGTTATGAAAGTGCAGATCTTAGAGAAAACAGAGGAGTTTATCAGGGCTTGTTAGCAGTGGTTCCTTACCCAGACACGCTGCCTGTTCTTAGCACAACAAGTCGGAGTGGAGGATTACCTTGACAGCCAGTATGGCTCCAAGAGACTTTCCCTGTCTGCTGGGTGACCAGTTCAGAAAAATCTCTAGCATGGTCTTTTACTTTGAATTTGTTTCTACTCTTGATTTCAGTGACCAAAATGACACAAAAATGTCGTGAAGTGTTGAACGAAGTGCTAAAATTCATCTTTTATCCATCAGGTAAGGGCACTTTCACTGCTAAGACATGTTTCTTTGAGTTCCTGATGACCTGATCAGCAACCCCTGCCAAGTCCTGAGGGGCCATGGTCTTTGCTGGGAATAGCCTTGTTAGTGAGGTGATCATGTGAGCAGATATCATTCATGGGAGAAAAGAATGGGGCTAATAGAAACCAGGGCATTCATGAAAAGATCTAGAAGTATCCC